TTGCCTCCCTCCCCTTCTAAGTCCCAAACCACTACCTTCAACACCCTCCTTTGTCTTTAGCTGAAGACGATATTTAAGGTGACAACTTCAGCCATTCTGGCAAGTTACTCAGTTTTCCTGGGTTTCTCCCATGTATACATGTTACTAAACTTTGTTGGTTTTCTCCTGTTATTCTGTCTCATGTCAATTTAATTCTGAGACCAGCCAGAAGGACCCAGAGGGGAGAGGAATTGTCTTTCTCCCCTACACTGGCCTAGCACACAAAAGTCAGATCACAGACATCAATTCTTTTCTACCTTCTTTTCCTTTGAAAACAGGTCTTTCTCTCATGTTTCCTAACTGTTAAAATTCATTTAAAATAGCAGAGAGCCTATCAGGTCAAGCTGTCAGTTTCACATGAGAATGTCTCATCTTTCCACAAGCGTGCAGTCTTCTCACAGTTTGTTTTCGTGTCTGAATTAGACATAGCTTTGGGGTCATTGAACCCCAAATTGATTAAATCTCTTAAACTGTCTTTGAGAAAGAATCACCCTGTGTATTTATTAAATAAAACTATTTCGTATCTCTCAGATTCTTTTACAATGAACTAATTCCCTTGTTTCTTAGGAATTCTTTGATGTTCCAAAAGCTTCTGGCACATTTTACATGAGACTTTTCTAGGTTCTTCTTCCTTAGAAAGAGGAAGTTGACAAAAAGGCTCAAACATTTATTTTAGTTCCCAGAATTGAGATGGGAAATGTCTAATGTGTTCTAAAAATAGTAAAAGCCCTTCAACATTGAATTTGGTCTTTACCAAAAGATTTGATGAATTTAAATTTAGTCTGAAATTTGTCCAAAACCCACCTAGTTGGGTTTGGAGGCATCTTCATGCTCATTAATATTCTTGGCTCGGAAAATATTAAACCTGGAAAATTGCTTTATTTCTGTTCCTTGACAGTATAAATAATTATGATAACAACAAACATCTTTGACAATGAAAGCTCACTATTCATTGAACCACTCTATTCCCTCTTTTATAATAGGAATTGGCATATTATAGTCTATGGGCCATATCCACCTTGTTGCCTGTTTTTTTAAAAATATAATTTATTGAGGTGAAATCTGTATAACATAAAATTAACTGTTTTAAAGTGAACGATTCAGTGGCATTTAGTACATTCACAGTGTTCTGCAATCACTTCTATCTAGTTCCAAAACATTTCCATCATTCCAAAGTCAAACCCTGTAGCCGTTAAGCAATTTCTCCCCATTCCCTCCTCCCCCCAGCCCCTGGCAACTACCCATTTGTGTTCTGTCTCTATGGGTTTATCTATTCTGGATCCTTCATGTAAATGAAATCATACAATATGTAGCCTTTTGTGTCTGGCTTCTTTCACTTAGCGTAATGGTTTGGAGGTTCATCCATGCTGTAGCATATGTCAGTGCTTCTCTCCCTTTTATGACTGAAGAATATTCTATTGGATATGTGTACAGCAAGTTGTTTATCCATTGATGGATATTTGGGCTACTTATGCCTTTTAGCGATCGTGATAGTGCTGCTGTGAACATGTGTGTACATGTACTTAAGCCCCTGTTTTCAGCTCTTTGGGGTGTATGCCTAGAAGTAGCATTGCTGGGTGATGTGGTGGTTCTCTGTTCAACTTTCTGAGGAACTGCCAGACTGCTCTCCACAGCAGCTGCACCATTTTACATTGCTATCAGCAATTGGAAGTATGCAACTTCCACTTTCTCTACATCCTCACCAACGCTTGTTTTCTGTTTCTTTCTCTTTTTGTTACAACCATCCTTGTGTCATCACTTCTTTTTGTGAATAAAGTTTTATTGGAACATAGCCATTCCCATTCATTTACACGTCTGTGATACTTCCGCCACAATGACAGAGACTGTATGGACCATACTTAAAATATTTACTATCTGGCCCTTTAAGAAAAAGTTTGCTGAACTCTGTATTAGAAGATTAGCCCTTCTTTTTTTCTTTGTCACTTTATTTCACAAGTCCCCAAAATAAGACCAAATAACGTTGTCGCAACCTTGTGTGAGTTAGCTTATTTTAGTCTTAAATTTCCTTATCTATAAAAAGAAAGAGTAGAACTAGTTGGTTTCCAAGTTTTCCTTTGGAACTTTATAATAATCTGAAAAACTATGATATTTCCAAAACGGGTAATTAATTTTCAGTTTATACTTTCTTATGTTGTCTGTAAATTGCTTAGCTTTCTTCCGGCTTAAACTAATGGTTTCCTCCATGTGCTCTATTTATCATACAAGCACAGAACAGTAGCTAATTCCTAGCTCATGTTCGTTCTCTGTACACTTGCAATGATTAGGTGGGATTGTCTAGCAAGGTGAGAACAGAAGATCAAGTGGAAATTCCTGGCTCCTCTAATGAGGAGAAAAGGAAACCTGTTAAAACTGAATGGCATCATTGATGGTTTCTAAAATATACAGCTGAAAGGGATTCCTCTTTCTCCAGCTCTTCAATCTGGGGAGGAGATTCCAGGAAGAAAATTAAGAGAGGGAGAGAGGTAGAATAGATCATTTACTGGTACCTCACTAAAGGAATGCTGAAGTTGGACACTCATGTTAATAAGCCATGCTCCCCATTAGGAGGCCACGAGGATGAGCAAGATACTTAGAAGCTACCTCGATCTGAACATGTCTGCCAAGCGTTGGGTGTTGACGAGGCCCTAGGGAATTGTAACCCAGCCCCTCATTTTCATAATGAAGAAACAGAGGTTATGCCTGGTCCATATTTGCCGGGGGAACTAGTTGCAGAACATGGATGAGACCTGGATGTCCTGACTCCAGTCCAGTGAAAGGAGATACCAGGGGTATCAGGAGAGAAAAGCAGATGTTTTGACCCACTTGAGCAGCTGTAACTCATCAAGGTGAAAGTATAGGGCAGCCAGCAGGAAAGACTGGTGCTCTGCTAGTTTGACCATTCTGACACCCAAACAAATATTGCCTGCCGCGGTCAGGAAAGACCCACCTGGTCCACAGGAAACTGTAAAATACACCTGGGCATTTCTTTCCTTGGGCCTCCAAGATGGATTGAATGAAGCCACACCATGAACTGAGCACTGTGTGATGGTTTACTCAGCAAATGGCTGCCGGGGTAATTGGTGAACAAACCACACACACTCTGGAGAGGGCTCAGGCCGGCCGTGTCCATCCCTCCACACTAGGAATGGGGGACAGGGGGTGTGTTCTCGAACAAGTGTGAGGAATCTGACCCAAGTGGAACGACTTCTGTCATCAGCAGGTTCTGCCGGTGTAGCCCCTTGGTCCCATCAGAGTTGGGGGAATTGCTACTTGACATGAGGCTCTTATTATTGCGGAACAACTCTTCTGAAACTGCTCAAAGTTCATCTTTTTTCCAGCTTTATTAAGGTATGATTGATAAATAAAAATTGTATTCATTTACGTTGTATAACATGACTTTTTTTTTTAAGACATACGGTGTTATTTGATATATGTGTCCATTGTGAAATGATACCAAAATCAACTTAATTAACACATGCATCACCTCACATAGTTACCTTTTTTTTTTTTCCAAGTTCAGTTTTAAAATCCACGGTCACCTGCTCCCTATTTCGTGCACCTGAATCTCTTGCCGGTTCCAACTGCTTCCTCCCTACCCTTTTGCTCAGGCTGCTTCCCCAGCTGGAAGGCACAGGTCCTATACTTCGGCCAACTGCTACAAACCTCTCAAGATCCAACTCGGGTACCACTTCCTCCGGGAAGCATTTCCCGACCCCATCCTTTGCCCGTCTCCCTTTACCACAGCATGGCTCGTTCTCTAACACGCGGAGCTGGTCACTGGTCTGTGGACACGCACTGGCTCTTCCACCTCCGCTTCCCTGCAGGTAGTTCCCCGCCGGCTCCCGGCAGGCGCTCAGCTAGGGAAGGGATGGAAGAAGGAACGGACGAGGTGCCTTCCGCAGAGCCGAGCGCCTGGGCACTTACTCGGGGTCTCAGAAGTCCCTTGCCTTCCGTGGGAGGACCGCCTCTGCTCCGAGCGCTCCCCGCGCCCAGCCCGGCTCTCAGGCTTCAGCGCCCTCCCTGCCCAGGGTCCGGGAGGGAAATTCCCTGTGGGTGCTTTTGGCAGAGCAGAGTTTTATCCCCCTTACACTGCGGGAGTGCGAGCCAGAGCTGTCCTCCTCCGGCTTTTCCGCCCTCCCTTAAAGGGTCGCCACCTGCCCAGCCTCTCAACTAGAAACAGGGCCTGATTCTTTCCCTGAGTCTTCACGCTTGCCAGTCACCAAATCCTGACGATGCCACCGCAACACTTTTCAATTCTGCCTCTGTCACCTGCCATAGAGGGGACCCCGGACACGGAGATGAACTGGAGAGACAGCCCCCTGACTGCTCGTCCTCCTTAAATCTATCCGCACACCGCAGCAGCATCTGAACTACTGCCCGAGCGAACGAGCTTCTTACAAACCGGTCGGACCACATCCCTGCCCTCCTTCACGGCTCCCTGGCCCCCGGACCCTGGGACATTGCAGCCCCCGCCGTCCCCCAGCGCTGCGCGGGCCTTCCCCGCGGCCCCACGTCCTCCCGGGCGCCCTGTGCGTGTGCTCCCCTGACCTTCTCACCGCTTTCGCGAGTCTGGGCCTCTGCGTTTGGGGTCGTCCCTATTTCTCCCTTCCTCGCGCCCCTCGAACTCCTCCCCAGCTCGCACACCGCTGCCCCGCGGAGCTCTCCCCAGCGCCCCCGCAGACCCAGCCGCCCTATCCTGCTGCCGCGCTCCGCGCCTCCATCACCGCTCCATCCCCACTGTTCCGCGGGAAGCCCTCGGGGCGGGGCCGCGCCTCAGACCCCTCCGTGTCCCGACGGCCGTACAGCGGTCGGCAAGAGGAACGCCTCTGCCAGGCATGTAGAGGGCAGCGGGGCAGGACTGCTGCAGAGGTGAAGGGAGCACGAGGGACAGACAGGAGCGCAGAGAGAGGGGCAAGCACCGCGTCCTGGCTGAGAGGATAACGCAAACGCTGAATACCTACATTACACCAGCCGAGGGTCAGCCCCATGTCCCGCTGATTTTCGCATGCAACAACCCTGTGTCAAGCTGATCTCGTGGTGTTCGCTGAGAGGGGTGAGGAGAGGGTCGGATGACGCCAGCAGCTGGAAGGGAGGGGGAGGAGGGGCACACAGTTACTGCCCTCCTGGTCCTGCTCTGCTGGGCAGCTATCACCAAGCAGGAGCCCTGTCCCACTCTGGCAGGACACATGAGTGTCCCCTTCCTCTCCAACCCCTTGTAGGAGGCATCATGGTATAATGGGAGAAGCAGGGGCCTCAGAGCCATAGAGACCTGGGTTCAAAACCCAGCTCAGCTGTTGCTAGCTGTGTGATTGCATGCAAGTTACTTAACCCCTCTGATCTTCAGACTACTCTCCTGAAAAATAGGAATTTTAAAAAACCAAAACTTACTCCACAGGATTATTCATTCCTAGAACAAATTTTTTTTGAGTCCTCATTTGTATTATTTCTGATCTAGTCAATGGGAATATAGTAGCTTCATATATAATAAGTACTTAAATATTAGCTTCTTTCTTTTCTGCTATTCATTCCCTAATCGAAAGCACAGAATCCTTAGAGAAATCCCCTCCTTTTTTCCTCTTCTCTAGTGCACATTGTTTTGTCCTCCAAGTAAAGATCACCTAATAACAAGAGTAACACCTAACACCAGGTACTTACTACCTGCTAGGCACTATTTGCAGTACTTACATACTTTACTAATTTAATGCTCACAACAACACAAAGAGATTGATTTTACAAATAAGGAAAAGGAAGCACAGAGAAGCTAAGGGATTTGTCATGGTCACACAGCCAGTAAATTATGGAGCTGGGATTTGCACCAGGGCTCCTGGGTTCGAGTCCACAGCCTGAGCCAATACGTTAGAGATCATATAGTTCAGGCCCTCTGCGTGATAGCGTGTCTTCACAGCTGTCTCTCTTCCCCCATCCCTCCTTGTCTTTTCTCTTCTCCTCTCTTCTGTTCTTTTCCTCTCAGCTGAAGAAACTGAAGGCTACTTTGGACAGGGTTAGGTGACAGGCTCAAAGTTACACAACTCCTGTGGCCTTTATCCTCCATTCCCGGGCCCTTCCTCTGACACTGTGCAACAGTAGACAATCAGTGTGAAGGCAAACAGCTGAAATTAATTACAATTTTGAGTAAATAATTTATATAACTTTATACTCCCCGTTGTGACAACCATTTGAAGGTATCAGATGTAATGGTAAAAAGATTCCCATTAGATACCATTATGCTTCTTTTAGTTTAATTAATCCCAATCTGAAATGCACTCTTTGTTTTTGCTAGCCTTGTTTGAATTTCTGCCCCCACAAATATTTGTGCTGTTGTTTTAGTTTCAATTAGCTTCTGGTGTTTTCCTTGGACTGGTTTTTGTGATGGAATGGGGGTGGAGTGTTTACAGTCTGACCTGTCATCTGTGAAGCTTTGCCTCCCCAAACCACCACAGCCCCAGCTCAGAGACGACAACGAAGTACAGTCAAAACAAGCCCAGGGCGCTGGGGAGCCCGGGAGCACTGGCCCCGCTGCAGACTCACTCTGAAGCCCAAGCCACCCGGAGGCAGTCGTCACACGGAGGAGCATTGCACACAAGGCCTCCACGGAATTTCCAGAACTTTGCCCTTGAACTGACATGAGGTCACCAGAATCTAGAACCTAATTCCAGGAAGAATACTTTCTGGTATCAAGGAGGTACTCAACCCAGAAGAGATAAGAAAGTCAATAGGTGCCATTGACAAATTGGGGCATAAGTTTACAGAGGGTGGTGTAGGTGATAAACGAGACACTGGAGGCAGAACACTATTTGCAGACAGAAGAATTTCCCAGCTCACCTGTATGAGTCAATGAACTCCTCTGAGTTTTGATTTCCTCATCTGTAGAAAAAGGAGATACTAATACTTGGCTTGCTGACCACCCAGGGATCAAATGAGGAAATTAGGCACATGAGATCAATCTGAAAACTGCAAAGTACTCTAGAAATACGATGAATTATATTACTGCTATTCCATAACTCGTATATAAAGAAAGTGGAGTTTCACTGGAATAACATATATAACAGTGATTTCCACTGAAATGCACCAGAAAGAATGATGCAACTCATTGTGAGACTTTTATTGCATTTTTAAACCTGGGAGAGACAGCTTTGCACACATAACAAAACACAGCAAGAAAGCGTCAGACAGGGACTGTGCGCCTGCACCAGCCTGAGTGTTCCAGACACACTGGGAAGGATGAGGCAGGTGAGACGTGCAGCCTGGAAGAGTCAACTCCTCTGTGTGCACAAGGGGGCAGGCACAGCCACTGGGCTGCCGCCCCAGGGTAAGGGGTACTCAAGCCCCAGGCAGATGTTAGAGACTGCTGTGGACTAAATTGCGTCCCCCAAAAGCATGTGTTGAGGCCGTAACCCCCAATGTGACAATGTTTAGAAATAGGGCTTTTAGGAGGTAAAGTGAAATGAGGGCGTAGGGACAGGGCCCTGATCCAATGGGATTGGTGGCATTATACAAAGAAGAAGAGCTCGTCCTGGCCTTCTCCCTCTCTCCCCTCTCTACCTCCCCCTCAGAGGGAAGGCCACGTGAGGACAAAGTAGCCATCTGCAAGCCAGGAAGATGGCTCCCACCATAAGCCAATCCTGCTGGAACCCAGATCTTGGACTTTCCAGCCTTCAGAACTGTGAGAAAATTAATTTCCGTTGTTTATGCCACCAGTCTGTGGTATTTTGTTATGACAGCCAAGAAGACTGAGACATGGACAACGTACTCATTTTTGTTTTACAGCTCAGTTTCATTCCCACAGTGCAGAGGCTAAAAGCTCACGTGTTGGATTTTCACCACCAGAGATCATATCCTGCCTCTCACATTTCTTGGCTATGGAAATCTGAGAAACTTAAAAAATCTCCAACTCCCAGTTTTCTCATCTATAAAATGGGAATAATAATAGTAATAACAGCATCTACCTTGGGCTTGCTGTAAAGAAATGCAGCAGCCAGCATAGTGCTGGCACTTAGTAAGTGCCCAGTTAATGTTAACTGTCACCATCAATCCTAGAAAAAGTCCGGTATTAAGCACAAAATACTCTGCAACCAAGTTAAAGCTAGATCTCCCATTGCTGAGTCAACCCCGCACTCTCCACCCGCCAATTAGCTGTCTATTGATCTGTAAAGCCAGTTGACTGAGTATTTATCAGACAGAGTGAGGGGAGGAAAAGGTATGAGAAGAGAATGACAATACAATTCATTTAAAGAAATCCAATTCAGTAAGTCCTTTCACTCAAGACAGGTGAGGCATTGTGACAGGACACGGAAAGGGATTATTTCTGTAAATGTGCTCAGTGCTTCACCAAGGGAGCCTGGCATCCTTGCTCCTATAGTGTGTGAAGGAGACGTGAATCGAGGCTTGCGCAGGGCAGGCCCTTCCCAGATTGGGGTATGGGTGACCCTGGGCGATGCCAAGGGCATTGAGGCCGCAGGAAAAAATAAGGTCCAGCTTCCCGGAGCACCGATTTTATGAAGCAGAATGCAAACATTTACATCATTTTTTTAAAGATAAAATACGATACTTCAAAGAGCTTTCCGGTGTGCCACATTCTGTTTGCAGCTGCCTCCAGCCTGGCAGGGGCTGTGAGCTCCGCTCTGCCGGGTGCTCTGGGGTGGGGGGAGCCCCGGACCAGGAGGCAGCTGCCACGCCTGCCGCTGCTTCCCCCGCTTCTCCCAGCAGCCGCCAGCAGCCCTGTCCTTTCCTGCACAGGGATCCTTGTAAACCAAAGGGCACAGCCCACCCTCCCCGAGGAAACACCTTCAACACCTCCCTCGGGCCTAAGGAGCGAAGTCCACCTTCCCTTAACTTGGCACAAGGCCGCTCACGGCCTGACTCCGACAGCCTTTTAAGCCTCTGAGGTCTGTGCTCCCACACCCCACTCCCGGGTCACTCCAGTCCCCAGTTCTCCACCTCGATGCCGATGCCGCCCTCCGCCCTCTGCCATCTGCCCCACTCCCCGGGCTGCTCCGCCCCCAAAACCTCGCTCATCCCCGAGGCCACACCCCAAGTCCCTAGAAGCTGCGAGCGCCTCCCCGCCCCCACGGCGCTCGGCCGCCCAGAAGGTGACCGCGCGGGGCACTGTCCGTGTTTAACCACCAGGAGCGACTGGCTTCCCAAGTTAGTATTTAACAGTATGTGCTGACTACAAATTTGTCCTCATTCGCTTTTCTAGTTTGCAGAGAGAGTTTCCTCACGAAATTGAACTGCTCTTTTAAAACGAAATCTCAGCACATTTTCTTATTTCCGAACAGAATTAAAACAGGAAGTGAGAATCTAAAGTGTGCTCCACTGTGACAAAAGTCACATTACGAAACCCGTGTCCTCATCTCTTCAGCGTCTCGGTGTCCTGGGGCCAGAGCGACGGTCCAGGGCTCCCAGTGCGCAGCCCTTGAAATTCACAGGAGGTTCTGGCTGCGTTGATTTCACGCCCGGCGGGACGTCCTCGTGTTTTCAACGCCAAGAAGGCCCTGTGGACTCTCAGTCAGATCGTGGGAAGACAGGGGCTGCAGAGAGCCAGGCTCGGGGCCAGCTGGAGCTTAGAAGACACAAAAGTGTTTCCTTCATTAAAAAAAAAAAGTCTTTTGTGGAGGAAGTCCTGGTCCCCCAGCAAGTTCTAGCTTCACTGAAACAGCTGAGCTAAGCTTGCCAGGCTTCCAGAAAGAGGGAGAAGAGAGCTGCCTGTCTCCTTTGCGCACCAGGCAGAGGGAATCACAATGAATTCTGTTTGTCTTATAAATGACAAACCAAACTACTTGCTTTTACCCCAATTTATCGGTTAATGCAAAATTGCTGTCAGGACATCACGGATTCCCCGACACTGCTGCTGCTTCTGGTTTTGTCTGAGCTTGTTCATTTCTTTATTTTGTTGTTGTTTTGCTCTTCCCACACTGGCAGTGAGCAATGATCAATACTAAGGAACAGAGAAAAGGAAGTCAACAAACCATCCTGGGAACACAGGAGTGTGCCAAAGCAGGCAGAGAAAGGCTTTGAGACCAGAGCTGTTTTCTCCCGTTCTTATAAATATGCTAATACTTTGTCCTGTCCCGAGCTCTATAATGGCTCATTCATTTTGTTGTTGTTTTTGGTTCGTCCATTCATCTAACGGTTATTGAGCTGTTGCTGTATTGAAAATCATCCATTAACACAGCCTTAGTGGTTCTTAAACTTGAGCGTATCACAGTCGCCCCAGGACTCGCTAAAATACAGATTGCTGGGCCAGGACCCCTGACTTTCCCAAGGTGTAGCGATGGGGTGAGGCCCTGGAATTTGCGTTTCTTAAAAATTCCCGGGTGGTGCAGATCTTACCAGCCCTAGGCGCACGCTCTGAGAAGCACCGCCTGAAGATATCTAGCACCAAATCCTTCAAATGCCCAGAATTTAGAAGCAGCTCAATATTTATTCATTAAACTGAATTGATGCCACTTGGAGAAAATCCTGGACTCTGAGATAACAGATCAGCTTCTTCAAATATTTACGTTTTCCCAGCTGCGACAGAAACACAAGTGTGCAAGAACAACATTATAGAGCAGGCGCTTTCATTTATAGATCAAATATCGGGCTGAGAACAGAGTATTTTGCAGCTGACTTATTGGTGGCCTGACGTGGACGTGGACATGTTGGGGATTATTAAGAAAAATAGGAAAACCATTGTATCCTCTTTACCACGTGCCCCTGCAATCCGTCCTTCTTTTCCTCCTTCCCTCATCCTCCTCTTCCCCCCTCCCTGACTTCCTCCTTCCCCTCCGTCTCTACAAGGTTACCAGTTAGTATTTGTACAAATACTTTGAGTTCTTTGGAAGAGAGAGACTGTATCATTGCCAAACGAAATAAATAATTTCTCTTTGTTCTTGAAGAAGGTAAGACAGGGCAATACTATCAACCAAAAAAATGTTGTCTTCTTTATAACATCCTGCTTATCAAACTTTAGGGTAAACAAAAAGCCTTATTTTTTTGTATGACCTCGAAGTCCAAAGTCTAAGGTGATTTGTGGAGTGGGTTTGCTGGTTGGCTGTTTTAAATCACACTTTAAATTTCTAACAGTGCTTTTTTTCCTATAGATAGCATCATATCAATGGCCTCTTGTGCTCTTGGGATCTCTCACTGTTGTCAAGTTATTTTATTGCTGTTCACCAAGTGGCAAACCTGGAGAGACATCAGGTCTGTGGGCTTGTAATTTAGTTTTTGTCCCTTCTTAGTTATCTTGCAGCAAGAAAAGTAACTTTATAATTCCTACAACTTTATATGGATGAGCCATTAACTTGTTTGTCTTTAATATTACCATTCCAGGTAAGAATTTACTGCACCTTTTCAGGTACTGTGTCTCTCATACGTCAGTCTGGTTCTTTTTTTAGTGTTTTGGTGACTTTTTAAAAGCTTTCTTTTTATTAATCTTTAGAAGATAAACAACCTGTATAAGCATCCTGGGGGAAAAAGCAATAAAAGCACCTGATGAAATGTCTAGTAGCAGATCTTTTTAATCTACCTGGGGGGCTGGAATTTGCCACTCCAAGATATGTGTCTTTGGCATGAGGATTATTTTGGGCTTGTTACCTTTTTTTTTTTAAAGATTGGCGGCTGAGCTAACAACTGTTGCCAATCTTCTTCTTTTTTTTAAAGATTTTATTTTTTCCTTTTTCTCCCCAAAGCCCCCCAGTACATAGTTGTATATTCTTCGTTGTGGGTCCTTCTAGTTGTGGCATGTGGGACGCCGCCCCAGCGTGGCCTGATGAGCAGTGCCATGTCTGCACCCAGGATTCGAACCAACGAAACACTGGGCCGCTTGCAGCGGAGTGCGCGAACCTAACCACTC